GGCCATGCGGCCGGGCGGGGATGGGGCCGGGCCTGCCCCGTCTCCCGGCCGGGAGATGGGGGGGGCCTGGGGAAGGTTTTCTTCGGGCCCGGGCCGGGCCGAGCCGATCTCTGGCTCGGCTGCAGGTTTTGCTGTAACTACATTCACTAGAAACTGCCTAGTGAAGAAAGAGAGAAGCCCTGGACTTGCAGCGGGTTGGAGCAGCGACCACACGCTCCAGAGCAGCCATGAGGAACTTTTCATCGCAGACGGCTCCAGCTCCTGTTCGGCAGAGATCTCCGAACCATCTACAAAAGCCTGGGCAAGATTTTAACTCTTTCATTACCCAGATGAGACTTGCAGATTAATCTTTTTATCCAGAGAGAGAGAGAAAGAAAGATCAACATGAAAAGAGACTTTATAAACTACCAGTGACAAGAAAGAAAAGAAGCTTCAGGAAAGGTAGAGAATTAAGAAGATGCTTTAATTAAGCTGAAATATCTCCCTGTTAAAACTATAGAGATGGTCAATAAAGTCCTGAAAAGAACTCCTTTAATTCATGATATAGGATCTAGAGAAGAATAGTGTTCAAAGTGTAAATTTGAGTAAAGAGTAATTATAGTATAGTGAAGTACTAAGAGATTAAAAGCCTTGAGAGGCCATGAGAAAACTGTTGAGAGATTTGAAGCCCTGAGAGGCCATGAGAAAACTGTTTTCTAGTGAAGCTCACAGAAACAGATGAAGAAGACTTTTTTTTGCCTTTGAATAACTTATCCTTAAAAATGTTATCTCTAGACACATGGCCCATACTTACTTCAGAGTGATGTGAAAATGGGAGGAGTGAACTCTAATAATAGCAGCTCTGAGCAGCTAACATTAGGGCAATAGAAAACTATAACAAAAATAGTTTTCTTGTGAGAAACTCCATAAATTAACAGGAAGAAACTTCTGTTTCTCTATAAAGACTGGTGAACATACTAGCAAGAATTGAGACTGTTTTAACCATCAGAGTTCCAGAGTTTTTGTCTCTGTTGTCATGTGAACAAGAGAATAGTGGGTAGATAAGAGATGGAAAGGTTTTTCTGGAAGTTTATTCTGGTGTTCTTATTATTGTGGTTTATCAATAAACTTTCTTTTTTTTCCCTTTTAAGTTGTATGTCTGTTTTGCTCTTATTCTAATCCATATCTCACAGCAAGAAGTAAATAATTTTCTTAGTTAGTAGTTTAAAACCACGACAGTTCCCCAGGCAGGGACAGTCCCAGGATGCCCCAGGGGATGCAGCATGGTCACTGCGGGGAAAGGCAGCCCTGGCCTCTCTTCCATCCTTTCTGTGGCCTTTGCCAGGGGACGCAAAGGAAAGGACAGGATGGGCCAAGCTGGCCACAGGCAGAACCCTGTTGGCCAGCTCTGCCACTCACCCTCCTGCAGTGGCTGGAACAGCTGCACCTCTTCAGTCTCCTGTTCTAGAGCAGTTTCAGGGCCTTCTTCCTCCTCCTCCTCTTCAACCCAGGCCAACTTGGGCACTCTGGTGGGTCGCCGCTCCATGGCAGTGACTGGATGTCTGGGAACCTGCAGGAGAGATGCCTGGGAGAAGTGCCGAGGCAGCAAGTCCTGCAGATGTGCCTTGAAGGCACCTGCAAGACTCAAGTCCTGGCAAGACTACAGGACAGCAAGTCCTGCACTCGGCTCTTGAGGGCTCCTGCCACAAGGACAGGAGTCTCCTGATTGTGGTGTGGCCTCAGGGGCAGTGACTGCAGGGATTAGAGATGCCTGGGACAAGCTCCAAGTCCCCAAGTGCTGTGGTGTGGTCCTGAGGTCAGCTGCAGGAATATGGGCTCAGAAAGGCTCCGGGTCAGACACAAATGAGTGTGCTGTGCAGGGGCTCCTCACAGCACCGCTCTGGCGCGTCCTGTCCCGTCGTGTGCACCGAGCACTGTGGCGTGGCCCTGTCACCGCCAGCTCCTATGTCAGCACGTGTCACAAAGGGCCCTTTGACATCTGCTCCCGTTGCCACCATCCCACGGTGACCGTGCTGCAGCGTGTCACAAAGGGCCCTTGCACACATTGCCCTCCGCCCTGGGGCTGCCCCCATCCCCCCACAAGTGGCCCAGCTTGGAAGGAATCCCTTGCCCAAAGTGTCTAAGACAGCCTGACGGGATCTTTAGGAACAGCTTGTTAGAAATGAAATGGAGCCAAATTTATCAATAAGAATTTTATTGAAAACTTTGTAAAATTTACTCATGGAAATGTCTTGGTTTTGGGAGACAGGTGTCTGCTAGGGAGGGCAGGAGCCTGGCACTGCCACAAGTTCCAGCAGGATAGGGGGTGTGAGGCCACCAATGAAGAGAGAAGAAGTAGAAGAAGCAGCAGCTCCATCTGAGTGATGGTGAAATTCCTTTCTCCCCATTGCAACAGCTCTGCACCCAAAGTGTTCTTCTCCGAAGCTGAAGAAGCCTCCAAACTGTCCCCACCCTCCCCTTTTCCTGCCCCCTTCCTCCCCTGGGTCCAGCTGAGCTCTTTGTCATTCCTGAAGCACCCACCAAGTACCTGCAGTTAAGTTTTCCCTGCAAGTAATGAGTAAAAATTCCACAGGCAAGCCAGAACTAAAAAATAAAAGACACCTAACCCCCAACACCTGTAAGTTGTATCTTGAGAGTCAGCCAGGATCTTTGTTTGCCAGAAACACCTCTGAAGTTTAATCAAGGCATTAGTCATCAAAATTATTTTGAAAATTTAAAGATCAAAGTAGCCAAAATACTCAATGTAACTAATTGCTGGGTATGTTCTCAGCTCAGGTTGGGAGGAATGGGGTTCCCTCGGAGGGCTCACCCTGTGGGGTGGCCAAAACTCTGTCAATGGGCTCTGACTCGTAACGGATCCAGAAAACTATGCTGTGGAACACAGGAATGCAGTTATCAGTTTTACAGGATTGATTGAGATTTCCCTTCAGGAGAAACCAAGCCCTGTTCTAGAGGCCACAATGTGAAAGGATTTCTGTGCTTTACCATTACAAGCTTACTCATTCTTTTTCCTCACTCTCATTCACGTTAGGAACAATAATTCTGTTGTCCATGGAGCTGGCACCTTTTGAATTTCAGAATAATGTCCCCATGGTCCTTTGCTGTTCAGCTTTACCGTGCTGTCTGTGGCTAACAAGGCTTGCTGGGGTCCTTTCCCCTTCGGCTGGAGAGGTTCTGGGTACCAGTCCCTGAGGGACAGCCAGGCTCCTGGCTGGAATTGGTGTGGAAGTCCCTCAGGGTCACATCAGCCTTCACATGGAGCCCCGTGGATCTGAGCATTTTCCAAAGGGGCCTTTGGGGCAAACAGGGAGATTTGGTCTGGCAGCATCTGTAAAACAATATCCCATCCCATCGACTTGTTCTGGCAGAGAACACTTGGCTGCAGGGACATATTCCCATTGTTCCTGCCCAGGTCTCAGGATTCAAACAGTGTTGTCTTTGCCCAGAGCTGTTCCTTCAGCTGGCTTGGGAGGGCCATTTGGCCTCTGGACCCACACTCTGGCTCCATTATTAGGACTGCTGGATCCAAATCTTTTATCTCCACAAACAGTGCTATTTGGAGGTGGATCTCCTTCTTTCACAGTCATTTTTAAACTGCAATATCAATATTTGTGCTAACCTGTCATGGGGTTGAATCATCCAATCTTGTTCATTATTTTTTAACAGAATTTCTTTAATTTCTCCTTGATAATCTGCATCAATTCCTCCTCCCGTGACATGAACACTTTGCAAGGCCAAACACCAGTGAGCAGTTACCAAACCAAAGTGTCCTGGAAGAATCTGAATTCTTATTCCTGTATTGTAAACTCTCATTTGCTTCTGATTTCTCCTAATGAATTCCAGTGCATGAAGGTCCAGCCCTGCAGCCTCTAGGGTGGCCCTGGCAGGGGCCATCACACCCAGAACAATTTCCCAGGCAGTCCAAGTCTCACTGTCCATGGTTGTGTTTGCAAATTGGGTGCAGCCCTGCACACCCAGGGGTTTTCATTTCCCAGTGGGCCCATTGTTAAGGGCATGGAGCCCATCTGGGAGATGGGTTCTCCACCGGGACAGGTTCCCATCTCCTCATTTTATCGACTGCTCTTTTAGCAGCCTCTTCAGCCATTGAACCAATCCTGCAATTTGTGGATAGTGTGGTACATGAAAAACCCAGCAGTTTTATTCACTGTGTTTTTCCCAGGAACAGACAAGGCATTGCACATCACAGCATCGGCAAACCATATAAAAACAGCCAACTTCACCCCTTCCTCCTTTATTCTGTGTATACAATTTGCAAAGTTTACCACTGTCATTTGGATTCTGGCCAGTCCTTTTTTGTAGGATATTTTAGTGTTACAGTGAGCAACCAAAGCTCACAAATTAGTATTGTCAACATTATTTCACATGAACAATTTTTAATTTTGGTTATAAATATGTATTATTGTGTATTATTATTATTATTATTATTATCATCATCATCATCATCATCATCATCATCATCATCATCATCGTTGTTGTTGTTGTTGTTGTTGTTGTTGTTTCACTTGCACAAACAAACCTGAGCTCAAGACTAAAACCTTCTGTACCTTCACATGGGAGCATTCCAAAAACAATTGTTCCTTGTCTTGGTGCTGTTTCCAATGTGCTGTTAACAAAATCCATCCTCATCTTCCCAAACCCACAAGTTCTTTTCCTTTTTCCACATGCAGTTTTTGGATGCATTCTAAGACTGATTTACTAAAATATGGATATGATCTAGTATCACTATCCAATTGAGACAGACAAAGACTCTTGAACTGTTTTAGGGTTAAAAAGTGTATGTTTATTAGCAGCACTGGGCCGATGTGTCAGATCACCCCTTAATACACACGGCCCCGAATACAGGTGAATACAGGCTTTTTATTTCCAGAAATATGGAACACAAATGCATATTCATAACCCCATTGCCACCCACACTCTGCTTCCTTTGCTAATTAGGAAAAAAGCAATTAAGCATGCATAGTTGGTTCCTTGAAATGGGTTGGTGGTCCTTTTATGAGGAGGGGTGAGAGAAGGGAGGGAAGGGATATGGCTCTTCCTCCTTCTGACCTTTCTACCTTTTCAATGCAAAGTGACAAATGGACCCTTGGCTGGGCTAGTTTCATGTCTTCAAAGAGTTTCTGATTTGCAATTCTCTTCTGTTCTTGAAGTTCCTTACCAGATTCATTGCTTCTCATTATAAGCCCAGCTGAACAAGCATAGAGTTGACAGACAATTAGTTATTAGCCAATGATTAACCTCTAATTTTAGCAAAGCTTCTCTAGCTCCCTTTAATTTTAGTAAGGCCCATCTATTTATTTTATTTAGATTTAGCAAGGCTTCTTTCTAATTAAGGCCACAGCTTCTCTAAAATCTTAAATTCTTCAAAGTTTATGTCTCAGAGTTATGACTGCTTTAAGGATCCAATGGAACCTCCATAGCCCCTGGCACCCCCAGAGTTCTGGCTGAGAAGAAAAGATGAATGGGGAAATAAAGAAACACCTTCTGAAGCTGGTGATAGAAACTAAGATGCCAGCTCTTGCCACTGGCTTGGGCAAGAATAAGGGCCAGACCCAGTGGGGATACTCAATTATCTCCCTTTGAACTGATGTTTAGAATTCCTTATCCTGGTAATCCTCAGCCTTGAGAATTACCTGGGGGGTAGGGATAAAGGATATCTATTGGAAACAATATGTAGCCTGGATACTGTCTCTTGTAAAAGCTCTTTGACAAGAAGCTCAGCTAGCACAGAGCCTGCCTTTAGACTTTGCTGCTCACAACATCCAGCCAGGAGATTGAGTCCTAGTGAAGGAGTAGAGAGAAGCAGCAGAAGCAGCAAAGTAGTGTAGACCTGTGCAAGTGTTGCTGAGCACAGAAACAGCCGTCAGGAGAGCTGAACACGGGTAGAGCCATCCCTCTCGAGTCAAGGTCTCTAAGGCCCCAGAAATTCAGACATCTCAGCTAGAGGAGAAGCTCAGCAGGCTGCCACTGATGCTCCACAAGAGGGGACTGGAGCAGTAGCCAGGACATCAACATCAGGGGAAGCCCCGTGTGCCTCCCACAGACTGGCTGCTGAAATAGTTTGTGTGGGCATCCCTTCTCTCAAATCTCCAGTCATTAGAGGCCAATCCTCACTGTCATTGTTTTCTTTATGTTAAAGCTCTTTCTGTGCCTTCACTCGCCTTTACAGGTCGTGTAAAGACAACATGAAAGTAAAAGTTAAGTTAGGAAATTAAATTACACCATTAAAATGTCTGCCTTAATAATCTTACCTTGATATTGTCAGCCAGTTGAAGTTGAAACCAAAAGTAGAAAAGTAATTTTTAACCATAGGAGAAGAAGTAGCAAATCCTTTTACCTGAAAAATTGTGAAGTCTGTGGAAGGCCAGGAAGATCTGAAGACTGGCCATGGGTGGACAGCCCAGTCAAACCTAACCAGTGAGTTAAGTCCATAATAAACAGGATTTTGAGATGAAGAAGGAAGTCTATGGTGGCTTCATTCTTCTGAATAAAAGCATTTGTTGTCTAAATAGAACAAGAAGCACATACGTGGGAAAAAGCATTTCTGACCAGACTTTAGGTTCAGAGTGTTAGACCCCCAGCTTCCCTCCTTATAATTGTTTCAGATATCAAGGCAAATAGAATCAAATGTATGTTAAGGTCACTACCAGCAGCTAAGCAAGGTGTTCCTTCCATAATTACCAAAAAGATTTTGAAGGCTATAAAGCAGAGGGGAAAGAGAAGGTTTTTTGGAGCCCTTATTTTTAAGCTGCCCCCAAAACAATTCCATAACCAGGACACGTGTTGTCCACGACGATCAGTAGAAGTAGCAACACTGAAACAAAACTCAAATCCTTTGTAATAGGTTCTGGTCCAGATCCAACAAAACAGATTTAAATGGAACTGCAGGTAGAAGCCTCGTGTGAGAG